GGGGTTTTCAATTTTAATGTTGCATTTTAATCCCTGTATTGTTTTAAAATTTTCATTATATAAATATTATGTTTCCTGGTGATTAAAGTATTTTTATGTATTCAAAGTTTAAAATACATTTTTATACATAAAACGTATCTTCTAGCGTAACTAAAATCTGGGATTTTTTTTTTTATTAAATACAGAATATTTATTTAACGATTCTATTACCTAGTGAAGGTTTAACCTCTTGTCAGGCCAGTCACCAAGTAATAGGAAGAATTCAACTCTTTTAAAGTAGCCAAGAAGTACGCCATTTGGTTTCGAGTATTATTTTTCTTACATGAAAACTAAAAAATTTCAGAAAATGTGTATCATATCTACTTATTGCCTTAAGCCACGACGAGAGAAGAAACCTAAAGCAAAACAAAATAATTCTAGCCTGCGATTAAGGAAAAAAATGAAAAAGAAAAGAGGAACACACTGGAACTCCTAGGGAGTAACAAGAAATGAGATAGCCTTTAGACCCGTCTCTTTGAAGCTCTAAGCCTAGACAACTTGTTGAGTTGGTGATTGACTACAGTTAATTTATGGACACTTGCAAAGACAAGTATAATATTTGTTGAAAATATATATTGATTTTATCTTGTAATAATTTATATAAACAGTTGGGCAGAATTCCGATTTAGAGAATGAGCGTAATGAATAGAATAATAATGGTCGAGACAAGAGTTCGACTCTTTATACTTAAAACGATGATACCCCGCCTTGGTGCTGATGGTCTTCCAACAATCACAAGTTTTAATAGTAGCATTTCAAATTACAAGACTCGACGAACCTGCTAATGTTTTGAGGGTTATGCTGCATATACATTATGGTGTCTATAAGGGTGTCATAATAGACAAGTGGCCTAATATCATTGGAGAGTTTCAATTCTCCAATCACGGAATTCCGCATGTAGATAATGGACACCATAATGTACGTATAGAATTATTCATGTTTTGATCTCTCTAAAAAATTGAAGGACTAAAATGAATAAAATTAATATTCGGGAACTAAAATGCACAACATGGAATAATGCAAGATGGAAGGATTAAATTTTACAAGAGAGAAAATCACAAAAAAAATTTGGAATGAATAAAATCTGGGATATGGAATCTATTTATAGAAGTTAAAATGTTGTGTCTTTATTCGAAGAGTTGTGTTTGACACAACCATTTGGACAGCGATTTTACTAGTCAAACGCCAATTTCTAGAAGATTCCACATGTTGCACACAGAAAATCGAGGGAAATAAATAATATAATTCAAATATATTATTTGGATTTAATATAAAAAATCATAATTCCAATATTATTTTACCATAAATATGTATATACCAACAAGGCCCAATCTCACGACCCGTGACTTGTGCTTGTGCTCATGCTGAGCCAACCGACCGGTTGGACAGATGGCGACGCCGCATGCGTGTGGATTTTGACTCAACTTATTAGCATGTATGTCATCTCCCCATTAAAGATTATTAATACCCCTTGGGTCCCAAATTTAAGCAATATAAAGTGGTTTCTATTCTTCTAATTTTCTTATGTGAGATTGACATTTTCCAATAACTCACCAATTTTTATCTCTAATTTATTTAAACTTCAAATGGTCATCTTTTGGCCTTAAATTTCTCATTCATTCTTATTTGGTTTTGAGAAAGTAAATGCATAAATTAATCTATTCATGGAGTAGAATACACTTGATCGAAGAAATCTTTTATCCAACTAATGGGACCTACTTAAGTAATTGATCAAACCAACTAATTAAACCAATTTTCCGACAATAATATCCATCTCATTTTCCCTAATGAGACAATCAACATGGAGTAGAAATAGTGAGTTTCAAACTCTTATTGATTCCATAATTCCTTGTAATCCCTTATTGATTCCATGATTCAAGTACTTTATTAACAACTCTTTGAGCCTTTTTCCATTCCTCGCGAAAGTTCTTTGAATTATATTGCTGAAAGGATGAGATGTCACGTTTTAGTTTTTTTCATTTTAGTCCTTGAACTTCTAATGTCCTCCAAATTAGTCCTTCAATTTGAATCTCTTCAATTATTTTCCACTATCTTTTAAACATATTCAACTGATCCTTCAGATTTCATTCATTTTTTCCCACAATACATGAAATCTTCCAATTACCTTTTACTAGCGTCCTATTGAGTCCCAAAACTTTCGAGCATTCATCCAACACCATCTTTTTGTTCACTTAACGCTCCAAATCACTTCCTTTTGCTTTTTTATCCCTTCAAATTGAGGTTTTAACCTAGAAACACAATGTATAAATGAATGAGTAGAAAACTACTCAAATAATCAATAATTATGAATATTTATAAACGTATAAAGTATACTTACCAGTGACATAAGCAATATATATATATATATTCCTGTGATGACAACATATTCTCAAGCTTAATCCAACATCTTTACACTCACTGATTTGACGCATTTTTGCATATGGAATGTTGAATAATATTGAAAATACATATCAATTTAGACTGAACGATAGACACGGATGTTAAAACATTTGAAAACAGCTTTTTTCCGAACTTTATCTGGTTGATCATATGTTAATTAGTATCATCTTCTCGTGCTGGTGGAAGTATCCATGCCAGTTGCGGTACCGGTGGCTTTAAGTTTTCCCGGCAGAGTGGACATGTCCTGTGTCCATGTCGTACCCACCGATCTAAGCAAACTCTATGATAAAGATGGTTGCATCCCAGCTCTTTAACTTCATCCCCTTCACCAATTCTGCATAAGCAAACAATACACTCTGTTGACGAATCTTCACACTTTGCATTGTTATTATTTTCGTAACGGGTTACGGTAAGGTCATCAACGTAGTCTGGTAATTCAACTATTTCACGAGGCTGAAAGGAGGATGACTGGGGAAGAAGGTAATCCCATGCCCAATTCAGTAGGCATGCAATCAGAATTATGTATTTCGATAATACTGTATTTGGCTGCAGCCTCATCTGAAACATTGTATACAGAGAGAATATAGTTTCTTGGTATATAATGCTATGTTGCTGCATAAAATTTTTAGAAGGGAAATAAAAGGCAGGTATTTTATTTATAGATGAATTTTCAAACTGAAACAAATTTTTACGTTTAAACAATTAGTCCTGATTCAGAGTTTTTTTGATAATGTCATGAAAATGTTGTATGTAGGCATTCTTTTTGATCAATCATGCTACAAGAATAGAGAATTTCGACTTACAACACATGACGAAAATTGATTGAAAGATGGAAAAAGAAAACAAAATAAATAAATAAATAAATAAATAAAAATAAAATCATCTGCGATCACGTTAGCGTCGACTAGTAGCTTTTTCCTTCTTTTATTAATAGGTTAGATGACTGGTTACAACTCTTTGAAATGACAACCCAAGAAAGCTAGCTGGTCAAAATTTGCTTCTTTACCATTCCATTTTTTTACATTTTATTTCAAAATGTAAATGCCTACTTGTTGAATATTCATTAATACGTAAATAACAATAAAATACCTATTTTGGAGGAGGCTACGGCCCAACCTCTGGCCAACAAAATATATTGAGAGTGTTTGGTATGAATTAAAATTAGATTTTTTTAGTATATTGTGATAGAAATTTTTGAAATGTGTGGTTGAAAAATTGCTCGATCTATTAAAAATATTGTTAATATTGATTGTTTGACTTTAATTTAATCGATTCTAATATAAACCAAACCGGCTTATACGATCGTTTGGATGCCATTATTGTGGAGGGAATGTATTCTAGATCACATCACATGGCCCACCTTGTGAAAGTTAGTCCAAATGGTGTTGGACATATATATTGTCAACTTCCAATTTTACCCCTATTTTGAAATGTGAGCATGTATTGTTCCAAACGAAAGCGCCATGCATTTTTTATTTTTCCAAGTTCACTTTGGCAAATTTTTGTCAATTCTACGAATAAGGAAAGAGTTTTACACTATGCAACGGTTAAAAATTGTCTAAAAATGAGATGAAAATGAGCTCCAAACAGCACAACTAACCAAGAATATTGTGAGCTAAAGAGCGAACCTTTATCATTCTTTGTATTACAAATGCGTCTTGGCATACTCCCTCTATCTTTGCTATAATCTCTATTCGAAATGTCAAAATCCTAGTCAACATCTTTGTGTTTGTGCCTTAATGCATCTTGTGCATAACTAAGGTTTCGTTCTAATGGATAAATTGCTTTATTGGTTACAAATAAATTGCTCCGATTTATACAAGTTATGTTCATCTACAGTGCTATAGTTAAATTAAACATGTAAGTAAATTCTTAGAATTGAGCTGTAATTACCTCATCTAAAAATTATTCGTCGCCAGTAGAGGAAGGCGAATTGCAATTGACAACCTTAATTTTAATCATGAACTAATTTCTAGAACTTAGCCTCTGTTTGACAATCGTTATTTTCAAACATTATTTTACATACTCATTTTTAACCACATATTCATACTATAAAATATTCTACACGTAAATCCACTACTTTTGAAGATATTGCTGCTTCCAGCAATTTCTCCTTCAACAGAACATTCCCATATTTAAACTTTGTAACCCTGGCTGTGATACAATTTATAGGATAGGACTCTAATCTCTCTCTTAAGATCAATTGGAGTAAGCAAGGAAAGACTAAGCCCTTGTTTGAGTTTCATTTTTGTGAGTAAAATGAATTTTTGAATAGTGTATTGATGGAAAATGTGTGGTTAAAAAATAGGAAAAAGTTTTTGATTTGCGTATAACATTATTTTATTGAAGAATGTGATTAAAATAATGCCAAATTACTGTTCAAAAATATATTTTTTTGAAAAAATATGGCTCAAACATAGCCTAGATTATATGATAAACAGTGATTATGAATGGCTACATTCAATTGTGGACTTCAGCAGAAAAATGACATTTACATGTTCCCTTTAGTCATTTAGCCATGAAAATGATTGATAATTTAGACTAAAACTTATGAAAGAGATCTGACACAATATTAGGAAGAAAATGCAGCGCCAAGCTTGACAACTATTATAGAAAGCATTCAAAACCTATTCAGTCTTTGTAATTGTTGAGATTTGACAATTAGAACTTATTGATTCATAAATGAATGTCGAGAATTATTTTATCAACAAATCATTTAGTACTCTAATTTGAATTGAGAAATCAAAGAAGCCCACAATTTTATTAAATTTAATCAAAAGACACCAAATAAATAAATAAATAAAATAAAAAAATAAGGAAGGCTGTACGGCTAGAAGGGTATTAAACCCATGTAATCTTTACTAAAATATGTTTCGGTTGAGTAATCAAGCTTGGTACCCACATCTTCACTTGGCTTAAGAGCTAAGATTCCCGCAGCGTAAGGCCAACTGCATCCTCAACGTAATGCCTAGTCGAAAGACGATTTTGCTAATCGGACTTAACGACGGGTCTGTTTTCTAGTTTCTTTATTTTATCTAAAAACCACTACATAGTGTTTTAAAAGCAAGCCTTAATAAATAAAATTTGCATAATTAAATAAAAGAAAATGGCATTATTAGAATTACATAAAGACCTTAATAAATAAAAATAGTCCACTTAAAACTAAGACTTTGGTTCCGCTATTTGTCTATCTAAAAAACAACATGGACGCGAGATATTAGAGTATGTAAATCATTATATAAATCAACTATAAATAATAATATAACTCAATTTTTATCTATAAACACGTACAGATTTACTGACTTATTTCACTCTCAAGTTTCAATGGGGCAAAAAAAAAAAAAAAAAAAGACAAAATTTAGAAAATAAAAAACATTCAAAAAAGAAGAAAAATTCATACCAAAATATCGAGCTTCCCATAAATGTTTTTGATGAAATTGGCAAGGGAAGCAATACTAGTTGGATCCATTACATCAAGTTAGAGGCGAAAAGGCGAAAGTAATAAAATAAATATGTTTTGTTCATTCTTATCTGCTTCACTTGTGATTATAATACTATAAGATGGGAATGAATGTAAAATAATAATAATAATAATAAAATCTTGGAATTTATTGAACGTGAAATCAGAATAAAGTAATGATTTATTTTATTTTATTTTTTCTCTCTCTATATCTGAGTTCGACTTAGGCCAGGGCAATTTTTGTTGTGGCAAAAAAAAAATAAAATAATAAATAAATAAATAAAATACATTTTTCTTATATCATGTGACTGTTAACAAATATATTTGAAAATCTATTAAAATATTCAATATACCCAATGGATAAACACCACACATTAGAACATTGAACATACCAAGATAAGAAATTGATTTTATTATTATTATTATTTTTTTTGTCATTTAGTTATTTTTCCAAAAAAGATAACATGTGTCTGTCTTTATTATGAATATAGTCATTATAGTGAATTTGACGACCAATGAGATATACTTAATTATTCCTCTTTTAACAAAGTTGAAACAAGCATGAAAAGCTAACATGACAAAGCCAACAACTCTACTTCAATCGAATATTTTGAGACAAAAGAGGCGGCAGTCGTATATTGAAAAACAATTTTCTACTATTTTATGTTAAGGGAATATAATCTCACATCGGTAAAATACCGAAATAATGACTAACATATAAAGGATTGGGACACTCCTCTTAATAAGGTTGACCTTATTAAGATGGACCCCAAGTCTTAATATGGTATCAGAGTCCAGTAAACTCCAACGAGCGATTTGATCCGATTAAGTCTCTAAATATGAGCACACGGATTTCAAGATTGGTCTATTCAAACGAGCCACCATCTTGCGGGGGCATGTTAAGGGAATATAATCCCACATCGGTAAAATACTGAAATAATGACTAACATATAAAGGATTGGGACACTCCTCTTAATAAGGTTGACCTTATTAAGATGGACCCCAAGTCTTAACATTTTATTGGAAAGCTTGAAAAGACGTTTAGAGATTAGAAAATTGATATTAGTTGTGACTATTCAATTATTCATCTATTTGTATTTTTCTTTTAAGTTCTTGAAAATCAAAAAGGGTGAGCACTAAATCGTACTTTGATTAAATAGTCTAAGATGTATCAGTTATATGATACTGTTAATTCTCTTGATATAATACATCGATGTATTATGGCATTATTATTTTAATATAATTATAATTATGGCTTAAAGAACATAAAAGAAGAATTAAAACTATGATTTTATATTTATAATTCAATTAGCCTCAGATTGGGAGTACAATGGAGTCAACCACAGAGAATTAGAATTAACACTATAAGAGCACGTGTGGAAGCTTATACCACACATTTATGTTTAAGTTTTATGTTATTTGTGCAAATATTTCTGGATTAACTTATTCCAGATTGCTTACGGTTTCATTAAATAATCCATCAAATGAGACGAATTTAGACCAAATTGTTTTTCATAATGGATGTAACAAATAATAGAGAAAAGTTGATTTCGATTTAAGTAAGTAAATTTACATACAAGTGAATAAGTGAAATTAATTATAAGTTTAAGTTTATATACTTATAATTTTGAAAGTACATTTTATTGTTAATCGACTTAAAAATAAGTTACTTTTTTGGACACTAACATTTTGAACATAATGTAAGAAAAGAATATCTTTCAAAAGTAAGTAACTTATTTTACTTAAAAAGTAAGAGATAATTAGGAATGGTGTATTCAATTGAGATTTTTAAAAACTTCTATAATTTTTTTTAAATAGGTGACTTTTGTGGATTTTATGAACTTTTAACTGATTTATATGGATTTGTTAAATATTAATAAAAGTCTTCGAACTTCTATAGACTTTGATTAGAAAATTTTAAGGACTTTTAATGACTTTTCATCTTGAAAATTACTTATATACCTAAAAAGTTGCAATCTTACTACGTAAATAACGTTTTTAAAAACCATAATAACCACAAAATTTTCTTGGGTAAATTTAGTAATCACAACCTAGTCATTCAATTTGGACGCAAATAAAATAATAAAAACTTTTACACCAATTTCTAAAACCATAACCAAATTTTTTTCACAAAATTAATATACATTCTAAGAAACTAATTGTTCTTAACAAAAAACAAAACAAAACAAAATAAAATAAAATAAAATAAATAAAATAGATCAAATAAATGGAATTCTACGTTTTGAATCAATTGCATATAATTTCAATTTAAAAGTAATTATGTACATATAGAATAATTATAAATTTATTACAACAAATGAATTGAAGAGACATGAAAAAAATCCTAAAATTGAAAGGAAAAAGACTTTTTTTACTCTGAAATTTTCACAAATCTCAAAATATATGAGAGATTTTCTTTGAGATTTACTATTTATATTTTTCACGAAAAAGCCTCTAACTGTCCATTAAGTAAAGAATTTTTCACAAGTTACTGTTTATTTGAATATCTTATGACTTATAGAGACTTCTTAAAAGTTTCAATCGAATATACTGTGATTTTTAGAGACTTTTTAAAAATTTATAGATGTCCCAAAACTTTTAGAGAATCTTTAAATATCTCAATTGAATACACCCAAACTTTTTCAATCCTCAAAAGTTTTTAAAAATCCTAAATGAATACACCTCTCTAAGTTATTCAAATTACATTGCTATTAATTATTTGAGTTCAATTGGTGGTGTCATTAGTTTGTAATTTGTCACGTCAATAATGGAATTTGACAATATACTCCTACATAATTATAAGGCTGAAACAAAAAATCGTAAAACTGTTGAATAGAATATGTTGGTTTTAAAAAAGTTTGGTGAAAGAATGCAGTGTCTATTAACAATTGGTGAGTATGAAGATATACAGTAAATTGACCATAAAATCCCATTATTCTAGTCTATACAATGGAAAACTAAATCACCTAAATAAAGAGATAACTACAAGAAAATTATGATTCAGGAATGGTAAATCTTTCCATAAATCAGTGCTGATTCTATGCTCTATCATGCCCCCAAGCTAGTGGTTTACTAAGGGAAACCGTGACCTGTTTCACTGTGTGAACATGGAAAACGTGATGCAACTTGCAAGAGACTTGATCACGAAAGAAGTGAAAGTCAATGGCAAAGTGATTCATACAGAAGTGGGAGACAAGATTGGAGCATAATTAAGTGGCTCCAACGTTGTTACAGTAAATTGTTGGAGAAGCGGAAAATGATGTTGCTAATTCATGGAAAAGATTGTTGATCCAATTCACTTAAATAGTAGTAGTAGCAATGGCACGGTATTCAGCTTCGGTAGATGAATAAGCAATGGTAGATTGTTTCTTAGAGCTCTAGCTAATAGGATTGGAGCTAAGAAATGCAATATAGGCAGATGTAAAGTGTTGGGTATAAACCTCCCCAGCCCAATCGACGTCTAGAAATGCATGAGAGTAAGAGGAGATTGGACTGAAATGAAGAGACCATAGTGGGATGTGCCCTTTAGATAACTGAGAACTCATTTAACAGCAAGCCAAATAAATTGAGCTAGCTTATTAACGACATAGCTGATGTCTTGTTTTGTCAAAGAGAGATACTGATTGAATCAAGCATGATGATATTGAGTCGGATCATGACTAGAGGAACTATCATCAAGCTTGAGCATCTCGAAAGGAAACAATGGTGTACTAAATTCCTTTTCCTCGTGCATATCAGTTTGCTGAAGAAGATCAATAATATACTTTCTTTGAGATAGGAACAAGCCATTGGAAGTCTGTGTGGTTTCAATCCCCAATAAATAGCAAATCTTGCCGATAAGAAAAAAAACTTAGTGGAGAGCTGAGTAGTGAATGTACAAAGAGTGGAATGATCATTTACAGTGAGGATAATATCATCAAAATACAAAAGTAGATCATGATGTTCCTTATGTAAAGATGAATAGAGAGATATCACTATGAGAGTTCAAAAAGCCATAGGCTAGGAGACAGAATCGAAACTCAGCACCATGATCGAGTAGCTTGACTAAGACCATAGAGAGCTTCGTGCGATTTATAAACATGATAGGGATATTGAGATTCAACAAAGCCTTAAGGTTGCTACACGAAAATACAATTAGAGAGAGTTTCATGAGAAAAGGCAATATTAACATATAGTTGGTTCTGACCCAACCATTAGTCACAGCAATTTTAAAAACAAGTCGAATGGTAGCTGATTTAGCTACCGGGCTAATTATTTCAGTGAAGTAAATATCGGGTCGTTGATGAAACCCTTTAGCTATAAGACGAGCCTTATGATGAGCTATAGAGGCAACCGGGTTCATTTTAATCCTATAGACCCATTTACATCAATAATGTTTTGTGTAGGGGATGGGAAAGATACAAAAGATCAGGTTCTATTCTTTGGAAGAGCAAGAAACTCATCATTTATGGCATTACACCAATGAGAGTGCTTGTTGCAAGGGTAAAAAATGTAGGTTCTATTTGTGAGAGATGATGACGTACTGGTGTGAAGTAAAAAGGGTATTTTAGGTTTGTATATGTTGTTATGGGCACAGGTGATGACACAAGATGGTTGGATTGATAAAGGTAAATGGAAAGGACCATGGGTAGTGGACTGCTCGATTGGCTGATTTCGTGACTTGGTGTAGAGAGTACTTTGTGAGAGAAATCTGGTGTGGCTGAGGTAGGACTGGTGGTGTTGAGATGTGGTATAGGGACACCATAGAAATGGATTCGAAAGAATTATTTACCTGTGATAGAGAGCTTTGAGAGGTAACTTGGGAAGAGAGGAAAGTGGAGGTAACTTGTTAGGAATTAAGTACGGTGCAGAGGAAGGTAAAACAATGGAATAAAGGGAATCATTGATTGATGCTTCGACTTTATCCAAATGTCTTACTGTAAAGGCAGAGAAAGTTTAGTGCAAGAGATGTAGATCAGGATATGATGTAGCTTCGTAGGGTAAGAAGTGCTCAAAAAATAACATGCCTA